CTCTGGAGTCCTGGAGCTCTGATGGAGCCTTGTTTGCTGCCGTGACTGGGGCACCATGCTGTGCTTTGAGGGTTTGCTGCCTTTGCTGGATGGTTTGGAGCAAACCATATCCATGGCCCTGTCTGCAGCACAGAAACCTTCGAGGAGGGGATCGTCCCCATTGCTCTGTGCATGCTCAGCCTCCTGCACAAGCGGGCTTGGAGCTGGGTTTTTTGGGATGCCCCAAATAAAGGGCAACCCCAAGCAAGAGCCTTGGGCAGGGAGCACCTTCACCTGGGTGGCTGCAGGATGGGGCTGAGCCCAGAGCTGCTCTGAAGGGTTCTGCCATCAAGTGGGTGGCACCATGAGTCTCTCAGAGGAACCCAAGGGGTGGCAGGGGGTGTGGGCACAGAGCCAGAGCACCCCTGCCATGCTGGGGCCAGCGTTCACTTTTGACTGGGGTCAGATGAAATTGCAGCCAGAGCCCTGGAGCTGCTCCAGCCTGGGATAACCAGGACCAGGGTCCAGCTGTAGCGTCAGTTTTCTCTGAAATTTTCTCCCTGCATTTGTTTCTGGTGATGGGAAGGTGACAAAAGCAATGGAGTAGGGTGCTCTGGGTGTCCTGGTGTGGGTGGCCAGGCTGGGACATGCTCAGGGGCAGGGAGATGCTGAGGACACTCATCTGTGCTGTGCCACAGTGCTTTCTACATCAGCCACCACTGACAGACACCTCCGTCCCCTGGAGCCTCCTCATCCCTGTCACCTCTCTCATCCGGTGCTGCCCAGGTTCCCCAAAATTGTAGGTTGTGAAGCTTTCCTTGTTTGCTGTGGGAAGGGTTGAGCTGAGTTCCCTTCGGTTCAGACTTTCTACTGGCTAAAAACTTGCTTTTTTAATTAAAAAAAAAAAAAAAAGTACCTGGAGCCAGGCATGGGGTGTAAAAAAAAATCCCTTGAGGGCTGCCCCAAAGGCTGTCAGCTTCTCCATCTCTGCAGCGTTCAGCTGCTGGTGCTGAGGCTGTTATCTCCCCTGTGCCGGAGCGTGAGCATCCCGGTATTTCCCCAGGGGAGAGGGGACCGTTTCTGTGGGCAGAGCTGGGGTCTGACTCGCAGCCCCAGCTCCATCCCCATCATCATGTTGCCTTGTAGCACCGGCTGGTTTCCACTCTCACACAGAATCACAGATTGGTGGAGGTTGGAAGGGACCTCAGGAGATCATCCAGTCCAACCCCCCTGGCAAAGCAGGTTCCCCACACCAGGTTGCACAGGAAAGTGTCCAGGTGGGTTTGAACATCTCCAGAGATGGAGACTCCACACCCTCTCTGGGCAGCCTGTCCCAGGGCTCCAGCACTCTCACAGTGAAGAAGTGACAGGCCTGGAGCATCTCCTGTATGAGGAAAGGCCAAGAGAGCTGAGACTCTTCAGCCTGGAGAAGACAAGACTGAGAGGGGATCTGATCAATGTCTATAAATATCTGACATGTGGGGGCCAAATGGATGGGGCTGGGCTCTTTTTGGTGTTGCCCAGTGACAGGACAAGGGGCAATGGGCACAAACTGGAACACCAGAAGTTCCACACAAACTTAAGGAAAAAATTCTTTACTGTGAGGGTGTTGGAGGAGGATCTGCCAGTGTTTGCCATGGTTGGGTTTCTGTAGCTGGAGGGTGGTTGGGAAGCTCTGCCAGTGGGATTATGGGTCTGTAGGTGGGCTCAAAAACCTGAGGAGCATCTCTGAAAGGAGTCACCCATAGCTGTGCCATGGCTGTGGAGGGCAGTGCTGGAGAGGAGGCCCTGGAAGTGATGAGGACATTCCCAGTCCTGCTGGGATGCTCCTCTGGAGCTGCCTCCTGCGAGGTTTGGGGTTGTTCTGTGGGAGAAGGGATTTATCGATACAAACTGACCCCATCCCACCCAACTCCACATCCATCCCATTCATCAGCAGCTGAGTGGGAGCAGGGAGAGTCCAATCGGGCGTTTGGTTTTGGTGCTGAGCATCATTGATGGAGCTGGAGCAGGGGCAGGGGGGGGGGGGGGTGCTGAGCATCATTGATGGAGCTGGAGCAGTGGCAGCTGGGCTGGTGCTCAGCAGCACAGTGCCTGCAGCCACTCTTCTGAGGTTTCAAGAGCCTGAATCCAGCAGAAGCAAGAGGCACCACGCAAAAAAGACCGGCCGTCCCCTGGGGGGTTGTTTCCTCCGTAGGTGTCGAAGCCCATCAGGCTGGGCTGGCACTGGGGAGGCTGAAAGCTCGGGGCTGGACCAAGCACCAGTGCCAATGTCACAGACACCGGTGGGGTCAAGTCAGCCCCAAATTCCTTGTAAATAAGGAGGAAAAAAGAGTGTATTTTGGGTGAAGCACAGCATGTGCCTTTGCTGAGGTGTATTGAGCTCATGTTGGCTGTAGCCCCATTTCCAGCTCCCCACCAGTGGTGCCCAGTGGATTTTGCAAGTGGAGAAGGCGGACGTGGCTGAAGATGAGCTGGTGCTAAAGCTTTCCCGTTCCTCCAGGGCTCAGAAGGGACCCAGGGGACACATTTGGTCCCTTCTTCTGCCTCCTTCGGGCAAAAGGGCTGTGGGCTGAGCTGCCCGTGGGGTGCGGGGGCAGCCCAAAACCCTTAGCCTATAATTTCCTACCTCCAGCTCTTCTCTTTTTAGAGTAAAATGATCATTTTGTGCTTTTCCATCCCTGAGACTGTCCCTTACAGTCTGACCAGCTTCCTCTGAGCAGCGTGCCGCTGTGGGGCTGCTGTCAGTGCGGTGCTGAGCACCCTGACACCCACTCCTGGGGCTTTTCCAGGGCTTTTCCAATGCACTAGGAATTTTTTTGTGCAAAGCTGGGTTAGCAGATAAGCGGAGAAGGGTGTCCAGTTGCTGAGCCCTGCTAACAGCCGTGGTGGTGCTCATGCTAGAGCAGCTCTTTCTATTCCAAGTACCAAAGGGCTGGTGTTTGGCTCCTGGAAAAGCACTGTGGCATCAGCCTGTGACCCAGCGAGGCCTCATCCAGCCTGAGTGCTGGTACTTGGTCCAGCGGGTCGTGGCACTGATGTTACATCACCTCAGAAGTGGTTAAAGACCCATCCCATGTCCCCAGCAGTGCTGGTGGTGGGTTGCAGCAGCCCTGGCTGCATGGGAAGGGGAGAGCGATGGGTTGGGTGATGCCAACACGTTGAGATGGGTGTTTGGTGGAAGGATGAACTGGTCTCCTGATGTCCAGGTCACGATCAAACCAGCTCCAGCTGGGGGGAAACAACAGCATCAGTTTCAACGATCTCAGTTTTACCCACCCAAAATTGTCCCTCTCTGAATTTTTGCATATTTTCTCACCCTGGTTTGAAAAATATTTTCCAAGAAATGAAACATTTATTCTTCCAGTTGCTGCCTTTTTCTCTTGCATGTGCACAGGGTCTGCTCCCTGGAGATTCCATCCAAACAGGCTTCACTTTTCTTTGTTTGAGGTCATCAGTGATGTCATCTCAACTAGGGAATGGGCCTTTTACATCATTTCTTTTCTGGATCCGGGTTGATGCTGAAGCAGAATGAAATGGGGATGTCTTTCTTCCTCCATTTCTTTTTTTCCTTGCAGAGACAAGTCAGGAAAGTTCACTGAGCCGAGATGTTTGTTGCTCGAATGTGCTGGAGCCGCCTGTAACAACATAGCTGGGGCAGGGTGAGGTTGTGGGGGAATAGGAAATGAAAACCTTTTCGGCCCAAAAAAATTCATATAATGGCAAAAAACCAAAGCAAACCAAAGCTAAATATAGCGGGGCCCGTGAGTTCGCTTTGACTTCTGGTGAATGCTTGTGGTGGAAAAAAAAAAGGGTTGCTGTTAAAAAAAAACCCAACACAACAACCAAAAAAAAAGAGACAAAAATCGTCTTGTTGATGTGCTGCTGCTTTGGGCAGCTTTTTGCTGGGGCGTTGGGGTGAGAAGCGGCTGCACGGAGCCCCGGGGGCGACTTTTTAGCTTAGAAAAGTACCTTTGAAAAAAGAAAAAGTATCTTTTAAAAATGACACGTCAGCCAGAGCAACGTGTCCCAGTGTAATGACCTGGGTTGACTGGTTTATACAGGTTTTTGTGATGGATTCACGTGCTGGGGTGGCCCTCGGTGATGCTGGGGGTTGGGGAATTGCTGTGGGGATGCAGGGTTGGGCTGTCACAGTGGGCAGGACAGTGGGACGTGCATCGAGCTGGGGTTGAGATCAGCTTTCCTCCCCTCTGCAGCTGTGCTAACGCTGTATCCGCTGGCAGCGATTCCCCTCACTCTGCTCCCACCTCCCAACGCCTGCGCTGGGATTTTGAGGGTCCCGACATGACGTTTTGTATTTATTTTCTGGGGTTGGGGCTGTGGCCACCAGAGCCATGGCTGCATGCAAGCGTTTTCCATCACACCCTGTTCACGTGATGGGAGACCTTCCCCCAAAGTTCTTGTTTGCTCCGCAGTTTTTGGTCCCTAAATACCCATAAAAATGAGGGATGCGCTCTGTCTATTTCCCCACTCGGTTTTTCTCCACCCGGAGCAGATGGCCGGTGTCGAAGCCGTTGCCGTGGGCTCCTCCGGCACGGGGCTCGTTGTGATGCCTGGGAATGCTGCAGCTGGGTGCTGCTGATAGGAACTCAATTTTGGATGGTTCTGGTGATGCTGTTAGAACGGGTGAGCTCTTTGCACCAGGTCCAGTGCCCAAAAGCCACCGAAAGCCTTGATGCTTCATTGGGTTGTCACTCTCGGTGCAGACACTCACCTATGTCACCCTGCCTGGAGCCCGTCACCCCAAGGACAGGCATCGAGGCAAACCCTGGGGTGATTTCCACAGGGAAGTGGTGGTCCTCGACATGATGGGTGCTGTGCACAGGGATGCACCCAAAACTTAAAGTGCATGGAAGGAGAGCCAGGGTGCTCTGGCAGGGCTGGGGGTGATGCTCTGACAGGGCTGGGGGTGATGCTCTGGCAGGGCTGGGGGTGATACATGGCATGATGCCAAATCCCCAGTGATGCTTTAACCTTATCCCCCTGTTTTTTTTCCCCAGATTCCAAAATCTTCCTCATTTACAACACGGGTGCACAGGGCTGCCTGGAGACGAAGGACTCGCTGGTGAGACTGGCCAAGGGCTGCAACACCAGTACCCCAGCCCAGCAGTGGAAATGGGTCTCAAGAAATCGTCTCTTCAATGTGGGGGCCATGCAGTGCCTGGGGGTGTCATGGCACGGGGCCAACACCACAGTGGCAGGGCTGCACCCTTTGGCCACCTACGAGTGTGACCGAGAGTCTGTCAACATGCGCTGGAGCTGCCGCGGCCTCGGGGAGCAGCTCTCCCAACATCTGGGTGCCCGACCAGGCAATTCCTCCCTGGACAGGGGAGACCAGGCACATGGCTCACAGTGGAGGACGTACGGCACCGAGGAGGATCTGTGCTCCGTGCCCTACTCTGGTAATGCCTCGTTGGGCATAAGTATTATCCCATAATACCAAGATGATGAAGGGAGTGGAGCATCTCCCTTCTGAGGAAAGGCTGAGGGAGCTGGGGCTCTTTAGCTTGGAGAAGAGGAGACTGAGGGGTGACCTCAT